AAAAAACTACTGAGGTTCTCTTTTGTTGGTTTTACTTAACTGTCTCACAAACTACCTATGATATACAATGGATAATATTCATTCATTCATTTTTTTCCTATGGCTGCAAGATAGACAGCACTCTGGATAATTATATAATAATTATCTGGATAATAATAAATCTGGATAATTATATAATTATAAACCTTATAAACACTATAATTATTTGTTTTAGAAGTCCTGCAGGAGGAAATGACTCAAACAAATGTCTCTGATGCAATGGAGAGTTCATACAACACCCAAGCCCAGTACCTGTGGAAGGAGTGAGGTATTTAAGACTGTCTTGAATGACACAGGCTGAGGGTCGTATACGGCTTGGGAAGAGAGCAAGTGGGGCAACAGAGAAGGCATGTTTCCTAGTCCTGTGATATAATATGATTTAATAGACAGGATCCAAAGCATGTCAACCCTGTCAGATCTTGTCAGGTAGGTAGACATAATTGAAGATAGGCAATAATATAACTTTGCTGAAGATTCAACTCCAATTCCATTGCAATATTGTAAAAGATGCCTTGAAGATAGGAAATCATGCAAATAGCCAGGCCCTGAAACCATAGATGACAAACAGCATCCTGAATTTCACCCGGAAGCCCAGTGGGAACCAGTACAGCATACATAGCAGAGATATTTTATGGACACATCAAGGGACACTCATGACTATTTGCACTCCCCCCCCCCAATTCTGAATCAGTTTAGCTTTCAAGTGGTCTTTATTGACATAACTTATAATTAATATATTTCAATAGTGATATTGTTATATTGCTGTTCAAGTTGTAATTGTGTGTGTTTCTGTTGTTTGTATTTTATTTTTATTTTAAAATTCCACATAAGGCACCCTTTACAATTCTGCAATGGAATTGGGGTATTTTCAGCAAAGTTATACTACTGCCCTGTCTTATTTTTACTGTAAGGATCATTTCATTTGTCAGGAATTATAATTTCCCAATACTGATTGCTGCAATGTCTAGAACTTGTAGTAAATAAAACAGCACATTCTCAATTGCAAATAAATATTTTTATTGAACGTTACTATATTATTTAGCTTAATTTCTGTTGATCAATATACCTTGCATAGAATATGGCAGGTAAATATTATTTGTAAACACACAGGCAATACCTAGTTTTTAAAAAATCCAGAATAAGGAGTCTTTGTAGGGAAAGTATTGTCATATGAGAAAGTTTTATATAGAGATGTTTCATGTGTCCAGAAAGTTTCCTTCAGCAAGCGATTTCACTGAGGCCTTTTTCTTTCTGTAGCAGTTTTTTCCACATAATGTCCTTCCAGAACACAATGGAACAACCTGGTAGAGAAGTAACATATTTTTAAGGCTGAAATTTGGAGACGTTCTAGCATGTAAACTTTGTAATCTGTTTAGAACAACAATTTCAGCTGAGAAAAGTTTTCTCACATTAACTGCTTATTGGTTCCAGAATGGTATCAAAACCATGTACAGCTTATTTTTATTTTGGCTTCTACAAACCAAGTACAGTTGCTGTTGCTGTTGTTATTTTACTTCTTAGCCTAGCCTACCATTTATTTCTACAGATCATTTCAGTGTTATAAATGTTCTTAGTAATGCAATTCTGTGGACAATTCCTTAAAGAAGTGTCATGGAATTTGATGAACTTTCCTTACACCTAGGTATGTGTTTATGGTTTATGATATCAATGTCAATTTACTAATAGTAATGTTTAAGACTGTTACCAACTAATACTATGAGAGCAACTTGTGTCTCATGGCTACTGTTCACGTAGTTACAGAACTTGAAGGTATTCTGCTAATATTGCTTGGGACCATTGCTCTTGACCAGAATCCTTTCACTCACAGATTCTATTTTGCTGCTGGTAAAAGTAGCATGTAAATGGAGATCACATTTGATATTGCTTGGGTGGGGAGAACCATGAATTCTACTCCCAACAATCCCATTCAGAGATCCATCATACTCCAGTGTACCCATTAGCTGTTTGGATAAAAAGAATTCTGCCTTTCTCTATCCCACCAAAGACAAATATTGAAAGTCAGGAGTACATCTGCTTTCCCTCATTTGGTCCCATTTTTGCTTCTCTCTCCCTTTGTCTGTCTGTTCTTACCTTGCCTATTCCCTTCATGAAGATCCTGATGTGTTCAGCTGTACTTCCTATTCCTGACTCTTTGGTGCTTATCTTGGTCAGCAAAATCTATTGTTCAAATATCTAGGAAACTGAAGAAGTTTTAATTAGCTGTAATTATCTTCCATCACCTAATTAACCTCACTATGCTGGGAGATTTCGTTGTTCTATATATATATAAAGGGTTAGATTTGAGACTTACCCAGCATGGAAGATCTTCCTTTTTTGCTACCAGTGCTAGTCTCCTGCACCAGTATATGGAAACAATAAAGAGCCCCAGGAGAAATATGGAAGTCAGTATATAGATAACTGCAATGACAATTCTTTGATATTGGTTTTGGGCTGTAAGAGAAATTAATAAATAAGAATTGGCTGCTGAAATAATAATAATAATAATAATGATAATAATAAT